AAAAAAAAAAAAAAAAGAATCTGAAACGGAACTTTCCCCAAATTCTCCCTCTGGGAGCACATTCCCTCCCAGGGAATTGCTTGGTTTAGTTCACAAAAGCCGCCAGCACTGAAGCAACCAAATGATTTTTCATGATTGGATTTGGTCCCTACCTCCCAAATGAAAGGTGAAGATTGAAGATAGCAAGAACCAAACTCTACCATAAAAAAGATCCACGCCCAAAACAATGTGATTTTTCTTTAACGTTGTTCATTGCAATAATAGTTTGTACATTTGAGATGCAAGGTTTGGGAGCATAAAACCACAGTTGATGCAATCTTTCTTTAGGCTTCAAAAGAAGCCAGGTGAGTTTCTGTTTGCACTTCTATTTTCTCCCAGGCTTTGTTATGGTGTCAGATCTACATTCCAGAGCTCCTTAAGCCCTTGGAAAAAAAGTGATTAAAACGTAATTGAGACGCCAGTGTCCCCGAGTATCAGCATATAAGGGAGCAAAGCAGGGGGTGGGCGAGACTCTAGTTTAAAACAACTTTAAAGGCCCACGATGACTTTGTTTTTATAGGAAGGAGCGGCAGCAGGCACCCAGCAAGGCGAGTCCCAGTCCAGGGAACACCCACTCGGCTCCAGGCTGAGAGAGAGAGTCTGAAAACCGAAACCAGCCCAGCGCACACCGACGACGCCCCTGAGGCTGCCTGCCCCGCCGGCCAGTCTCTGCCCGGGGACACCCGCGCGGGCGGCAGGGCCAGGGTGGAGGGGGAGGAGGAGGGGACGGAGGAGGGAGAGGAAGGGGAGGAGGAGGAAGGAGTGGGGGAGGGGCGGCCGGCAGAGGCCCCGCCCACGCCCCGCCCCGCCCCGATTATAGCCGATGACTCAGGGCGGAGCTCCGCATCCAACCCGCTCGCCGCCAACTTCTCTGGATGGGACCAGAAGTTTCTAGCCGGCCAGTTGCTACCTCCCTTTATCTCCTTCCCCGTTGGCAGCGAGGAGGCTATTTCCAGACACTTCCACCCCTCTCGGGCCACGTCACCCCCTCCTTTAATTCATAAAGGTGCCCGGCGCCGGCTTCAGGGACACGTCGGCGGCGCGCACCGCTCTCGAGCCGGCCGCAGTCAGCGAGCGACTCCGCGCCTGGAGGCCCGGCACCCCACGACCAGGCACCCCGCGACCCGACACCCCGGCGGCCGCCCCTTCGGGCCGACCCCAACCCAACATGAGCGCTGCCACCCACTCGCCCATGGTGCAGATGGCGTCCGGCAGCGGCGCCGGCGACCGCGACCCCCTGCCCCCCGGCTGGGAAATCAAGATCGATCCACAGACCGGCTGGCCCTTCTTCGTGGACCACAACAGCCGCACCACGACGTGGAACGACCCGCGCGTGCCCCCCGAGGGCCCCAAGGTGAGCCGGCCCGCTCGGCGCCCCGGCCGGCGCCCCCCCTCGACGGCGAGCGACGGGGACCGCTGCACCCGGCCGGGTTGCGGGGTCCCGGAGCGCACCTGCGGGTGGACGCCCGCGCCCGGGCTCGGCCTGCTGTGCCCCGACGAGCCCCCGCTCCGGCCCGCCCTTGGCCGGCGTCGGGGCAAGAGGGAGGCCCCGGAGGGGAGGAAATGTTTCCCCCCTCCGCTGCGTCAGGTTCCCGGGAAGTGCGACCCGCGCAGTGGCGCCAGGTGCCGTCCACCGGCCGGATCCGAGGGACCGAGGACCGGGTGGCTGGAGCGGGCCCGGGCTCCGGAGGGGCGGCCGGCCTGGTCACCTCTGGAGGCCCGGGCCAGGCCCCGCCGCCTCCTCTGCCGCCGCCCGCCGGGGCGGAGGTCCCGGTTTCCCTGCGGTCCGCGCTGCGGCGGACGCCGGCGAGGGGGCCCACTCGCCAGCTTGGGGGTGGTCTCGCAGGTGTTTTGTCTCCTAAAATTCCTCAACTTGCTCGAGGGGCATCTTAACTGGCTCAGGCACAGAGTGACTCAGGGAACTGATGTAAATATACTCCCCCGTTTTTATATCTGAAATTAAAATTGTTTTCTTCTTTGAAACGATTTTCAATAATATATTTTAGTATGATTTGTTGAAAAACAAGGCGTTCTTCTGCCAGGCAATTTCTGAACTAAAGATGTGAGACTGTCCCATGGTTGACCATTGCCTTAGGACATTGCCTCACGCTGGCGTGAAAGAGAATGGTTTTTGTTTTTGTTTTTTTTAATGGCATACATTCCCTTCCTTGTTATGGTATTAAAATACTTAGGATTTGTTTCCAGTAGATACACAACAAATACAGAAATACTTTCGTGAATGCAGCATACCTTATTTACATATATGCAGAAATATAAACTCTTTAGTCCTTAGGAGCATGAAAATTTGGAAATAGAAAGTTGGGATCAATCTGTTAACTTAAAAAATTACAACTAAGTGTGTTACTCTTCCAATATTCCACAGATTTGTGCTTTTTCAAAATAAAAGTCTTGGCAAAAAGAAATACACTTAAAGAAAGGGTAATGATATACTGTCTGGGCAAAATTTTAAAAAGCCATAAAGAGCTGGTCAGTTGTTTTGAAGATTTAAAAATTCACAAAATTAAAAATGCTTTATAATTATTTTAGAAGAAATATTTGCATCATCAACTTTCATTTCTAAATGACAAACATTGATAAAAATCTGGTGCCCAACAGTGAGACGTAGGGACATTCAGCAACTTCCATTTATAAGAGTTGAATTGTATATTTATATCTGGAAAATTAGTACAAGAGTATATAATTAGCTGGGATGGGTATAATCATATATACTTTTTTATATGCCTGCTCAGCCCATTATTGGGTGAAACTAAAGCACATTTCAAACCAGCCCTGTTACTGCAGTCTACATGGATGTCGACCTTTGGTGTGGTGTAAAACTATCAGTTTGAGGCCTCCTTCCTATAGAGACGGGGACTGTCAGAATCTGCCATACCCTTTGTTGTAAGTGAAGGTCAAGTTTGAACATAGCCACTGTTAAGTGCAGTGTAAACCCAGAATGCCAACACTTTGTTTTTAGCATGAGACTCACCCAGCAAGTTGAGATCTTTGTGTACCCATCCAGTGAGTTGGTTAGGCTGTGGTTTCATAAACTCTTTTTAAAGGGGAAAAAACAGGTTAAGTAACTTTCTTTCTTTCTTTTTTTTAAAGATTTTGTTTTTAAGTAATCTATACCCAACATAGGGTTCAAACACACAACCTTGAGATCAAAAGTCACATGCTCTACCGACTGAACCTGCTAGGCACCCCGGAATTACTAGAATTCTTTTTTTTTTCTTAAGTTTACTTATTTATAAATAAATAAGAGAGACAGAGACAGAGTCTCTGAGACTCTCAGACAGAGAGGAAGACAGAGAATCCCAAGCGAACCCATGAAACCACGAGATCATGACCTGAGCCGAAACCAAGAGTCAGACGCTTAACCGACTGAGCCACCCAGGCGCCCCTATCATTCTTAACAAATAGAAAATACGGCTACTAAATCAGAAGTCTGACCCTGGAAAAGGGGATTTGAAAATTAAGTCAGAATTTTAAAGTTTGAAAGGCCCATGAAGATCTCTTAGCTCAATCTCTTTGTTTTACTGACAAAGAAACCTAGACAATTAAAGTGTGTCTCCAAAGGTCACTCAGTACCAATAGCAAAGAGAACTACACCAGAAAGTCCTAAGAGGCAGGGTATCTGTTCAGAAGAAGGTAGAAGTGTCTTGAATTTTTATGAAACTGTGAAGCGTGCAGGCTGGACTACTTCATTGTCTTTGTGTCCTCTAGGCCACCACGTACTGGGTGGCTGACCTCTGTGCTGTGATTATTTGGATGGTGATGACTGGATATGATAACTCAAGAAATGAGTTCTCTTTACCAAATTAACTACTCGAGATTTGTCCGCATGGCACAAAACTTGAGAAAACTGACATTCAGTTTCTTAGCTCCTTGACCTTCATTGTTCTCATACCTGTGCTTTGATAATACACAGAACATCTGGGTGATTAATTCAGATTCTCTTACACGAATGACACTTTTTCTCCAGACTAAATACAACGGAAAATCTTCAGTACTGTTTCATATTAGAAATTGGCTTCTTACTTTGTAGTAAAAAGGGTCCTGGTGTAAAACAAAGGGCGTTTGGGGGGGGAGATGAGCTAAGAGGACCTTTCAAGCATCCTTATTTTCAGGAGGAGATGCCATCAGTTGATAAAGAGGAAGCCCTTTTTTGGGGACGGCAGCTTCTGGGTGTTTATGGTCTAACCTTGCTGGGAAAGGAGTGGCTTTCATGGAAAGGAAGTGACTACAACTCTGTTTCATTGAGTCTTGTACTCTGTCATTTTAGAGTTGATCCTCCCACATTGCTCTGAAGTAGTGAGAGTGACTGTTTGTCCCTAGTTTTACAGAGGAGGCAAGTGAGAGCAAGCGTCTTGCCCTTCATCAAAGAGGCAGGGCAGCCTACAGGCTAAGACATTGGGCTTTACCTGACTCCACTCCATGCACCCGGACCTCCCCACCTGCAGTCTTCCTGGATGTCAATTTTCTGCACTCACGGGCTTGCCACTAATCTTCTGGCAAGTTCATTCTGGTCCAGGCCCCTTCCCTGGCAGAGAGGTTGGTGCTCACTCTGGAGTCTGAAGGTGCACAGCCGCCCCTCGCCTGCTCTCCCCTGATTAAACAGAGACCAGATGCTTTGGAGTACTGTGCTGTGCTGCTCTGTCAGAAACCTTCCTGGGACAAGGGGGGAGACCCTTCTCCCTCAGTGAGCAGAGCTTTCTAGCTCTGTAGACCTTAGAGGTCACCAGCACAGAATCCCGAGGCCGGCAGTCTCCTGGGAAGCCTTTTAAGAGCACAGATTACCAGCGGCCTCATCCCTCTATCTGTCCCCTGCCCCCGCCCCCCATGTTTAGTCCACATTGCCCAGAAATCTGTATGTCTGAAAGGTTTCCCTGATCCTTCTGATTTTGCCACACTGGCATTTGGGAGCCCCTGGTGGATGGTGATCCCATTTTGTAGGGGGAGGGGAGCTGTGATTTACTGTACCCTTTCCTGCATATGAGCCCTGGAATCCCTCAAGCTGTGCCTGTCTAACATCTAACCTGCATAGCCTTTGCCTGAGGCCCCATTTTCCTTCTTGGTGAAACTCCCTGGTGCCGACTTGCATGAGTATGAACATGGGGATGGCAGTGCCCTGAGTCAGATCCAGGGCAGTCCCAAGACCCTTCTGTACCCCAGAAAGATGTGAGCCAGAGCATTTTCTTCCTGTTTGGCCCTCCCAGCAGAAGCTCACCAGAATAATCTGACAGATTACATTCAGGCCCTGGAAGAGAGATGTAGAAACATCCTCTCAGAGGAAATTGGAAATGTTTGTAGTTACGATTGAAGTGGAGAGACCCACTTATTCTGCTTCATGTTTAGCAGAGCCTCCTGAATTTTCTTACAGATGAGATCATTTTGCTCTTTGCAGATCGATTAGAAGCTCGTGGGCCTCTTAGCAGAATCAGAGCACAATCAGGAAATGAGTGGTCCTTCTCCCCTTTGTATTTCCAGCAAGTTGCAGTGATGGAGGAGCAAATTCCTTTGCGACTGATGAGCAGGGATTTGTTGGCGGGGAGGATGAAGAACGTGGGCCACATGCCTTAATGCCCAGCTCATCCAGGACCTCCATTTTACCCTCCAGAGAACAGGCTGTGTTTGGCAAGAACTGAACATAATTCGTCCCCTGTTTTGCAGCGTAGCTTTGCCCTTTACGAGGGGAAAGCCGGTACACGGGAACTGTGGCGGCATTTGACATTAGCCAGGGCCGAGGAAGGCTTAGCTGTTTGATGCTGTTGGGGCCGGTTGTGAGTCAGAAAGCTCCATACCACCGGTGAGGCTTGATTAGCACTGTCCTCCTGTCCCCATTTCTGGAATGACACACAGTTGCCTTATATAAGGCACTCTACATATCTATTACTTCCTATTGGCATTTATAAACGGTCTGATGCTTATCATCAAAGGTAGGAAACCGTGCATAACCCAAACCTACTCTTCCTCCTTTGCATTTTTGCTGTTGTAATGCTGCTCTTAAATATTTAAGACACCTTACGTAGGAAAACTGGGAGCAAAAGACAAAGGCCTTGCTTATTAGGAACCTCTGAGGACCCATTAATGCTGATGAACGCTGAAGAAACCTCTAGCAACCTGATTATGGAATTCTTGAGCCCCTCCCTGCTCCCCATTTCTGGCTCATCAAGTCTTCACTGGGTCTCCTCTTGTGCCTCTGATCTCAGACTCACGGCTTGACTTTTGAAGCTAAGCACTAAATCCCATCCTTTGCAAATGTGGACATTGATTCCCACTGCTTGCTTGGCATTGTGTGACTGCGTGAGATATGTGATGTTACTAAGTCATCACTTATTTCTGTGTAGATTT